GCATTCCTGAGCATCTCCCTGAACTCTGTGCCAAATTCTGATGATCTGGGAACCCAGCTGATGCTGCAAAGAGCTCCTGCCTTTGCTAAGGCCTGGAGATTTCATTGCATGCCAGGGACCTTGGAACTCAGTGTAAGCATGGCGCACTCAGCCCTCATGCAGATTTAGGCTTTGATTCAAAGCTTAATCTGCAGTTCTGCCAACATTCACTGCCCTGCTCTAAAAGTTACATAAAAATCATTAACATTTAAAAACCGAAATGTCTTTTTACTTGGCATTTGTATCATGTCAAACTAATCCTAGGGGATCCTGTTATTGTTTCCAACAAAATAACATTAATAATTAAAGTAAAATTTTTATTGTGTCACTTATACATGCAGCTTGGATGCAACTGTATAAGCTCTTCTAAAATTAAAGTTAGGATACTGTCTTCTTCTGTCAAAAAAAGTCAACATGTGAATTAAAGGCATCGGTTTGTGATCAAATTAAAACATCCTATCATGGTACAGTGCATGTTATGATGTCATTTCCACTAGTACGCGTTAGCCAATACAGAAGTGGGTTCCCAAACTTCTGCCTGTGTTAAAACAGCACTGGACTTTTCCTCTGGCAGCCACTATTTAAATTCAAAGGCCAAGGCACCACTTTTTGGCAAAATGACCAGATTATTCTCTTGGGGTATTTTCAGTTTTTATGGGAAATGTTCATTCTCTTCAAATGTCAGCCAACTCACTTTTCATTTATAAAAACTGTATTTAATGTTTTTTTTTTTTTACTTAAAATTATTTATTGAGTTTCATTTGCATCATGCAGTGGAGTAATATAGATCTCCTGAAGAAGTGCTTATATGACTGAATTAGTGCAGAATGACAGGTTTCCTGGAAGTTCTTAGGAAAAATGTCAGAAGTTAAATTCAGAAGAGGCCGATCTACTATTTTAGCCATCAAGCTGGTTCTTTCGTGACATGTTTACGAAGCACTGTATGAAAATCTTCACTATTTGTTCTTTATGCTGTACCTTTTGTTTGAATTTTGAAAGCTGCTCTCAAGTGCTATCAATTTGGCATCTCAAACAAAATGTGTATCCTCCACAAGTGATGCTCTTTCACAAGTGATAGATTTCCCTTCTCATCTGGCACCTCACTAACAGAGATGGGAGCATTAAAGCACCTAGGAGTTAAGATAGATGGATAAAATTGCAGACAAACTGACCACAGAAACAACAGTGCTGTGTATCTAAGGAAAAAAAAAAATTATTTACCACAGGAAAAATTGTTTATTGCCCAAGTACAGTGTTGATTAGATAAATCAGCTGGAGCTTGGGCTAACAAGACTGCACCTGAATTTGAGTTTCATTTGTGGCAATATGGCATACAATAAAAGGCAGTAAGCTTACTATTAAGTGGCACTCCCCAGTGTACAATACCCAGCTAGGAAAGCTTAAAAGTGATTCTTTTTAATTTAATTTCTTGTGCATGAATGCAATATAACTGTGGATATTTTTACAAGCCAGATGATAAGCAATGCAGAACTGCAGACAATTCTTGCTGCAGCTACTGGAAAATTCTTTTCCTCTCTATTTTATTTTCCCTATGGAAGATATATTTAAGAGATAAGATTTAAATGAAGACTTAGAACAAAAAACATTGCTGTTTACCAGAAGAACCCATCTACAGCCCCAGTCTTTGTGTCTGCATATAGCTATGCAATATAAATAAAAGTATGTGATGCAAACCAAGCAACAAATACAGCTGAACAAGGTAGAACTGTGTCATTTACTTAGAGAAGGAAAAAAAGAATTAAATTTTATTTCTAACTCATACTTGATTTCATTAGTGCTTGAGTCAAACTCATCTGTTTCAGAGGTTAATTTATGTAAATCTGAAATTCATCTTCCCTCCCAATTCAAGAGCTGGTTTCAAGAAATTAACTAAACATGCTAAATCAGAAGAGGGATTTTAGGGAAATAAATTTATCAGAAAGTAAGGGAAGCTTTGTCAGTATCCACAAATGTGACCTGCATGAAATATAATATACTAAGAGTAAATTTACTGAATTTTTTTCTGTGAACCCATGACAAATTTCTTATGGGAAAAATATTTTCGTTGTCACTCTTCATTTACTTCAGTCTAAGTTCACTAATGAAGTCAAGAAACTTGGAAGAAGTAGGGAGGACAAAGGACAGAAATATATTCTTATATATTAGTATGTCTGACATCAGTAGAAACAAGCTATTCCTGTAGCCAGATGTAATTTTTCTTTGATTACCTGTTGCTTTATGCCTGAACAGTCAATACTAAATGAAGCACCTAAGCAATTAAAAGCTCTTGAAGAGCTGGCAGCCTCATACCATAAATGTTCACTACTCACATTTCTTTCTGAGAAGTTTGTTTCAGTGTACACCACCTCATAAGAGTGTAATGATTTGTTAACATTCCAGAAGCTGACGCTGGAGTTCTAATACATAGCTCTATGTAATTTTTCAGATGAAAAAAATGCCCAAAGGCAATAAAGCCCAAGCTGATTTGTGGACAGCCAATAAAGAGCAGAGTGTAAGTTATTAACGTGCCAGTGCATTTAGCCAGCGCATATCTTCATTTTGAGTTCCGTGTGGATGCAGACCTGGTCCTGCTGTACCTCAAACAGCAAATACACAGATTGAAGTGGCAAGATGGCCACAAGCACAGAAGAACATCCTTTTGCAAATTATTAAATGGAATAAGTCTCTTCAGCCTGAAAGGAAATATGATAGATGACTCTAAAATCCTAAGTGTCATGGGGAAAATCAATAGCGGGCAATATTGCACTGTCCCTTTACCAGAGCCACGAGGGGACAAGGAATGATAACAGGTTTGTCGTGAGCCACCTCAAAGTCATGGCTCCCCATACAATGCATAATTAAACTGTGCCACAGATTCCACAGCCTTTAACTACTCTTAAAGATCAGATAAACTGTTAGAGGCAAAATCAGCAGGGGCTATTAAAAATACAGATAGAAGAAAGCTGGATGCTGGGAAGGTACGCTAGGGAAGAATAACAGCCCTATGTTTTTTATTTCTCTAGTCATCTGCCACAGGATGCTCCCTCCCTTGGACAGAGCTTCAGCCTCACCCAGCCTAGTGGCTCGCGCATTACAAGGTGCCTGTGTTAGTAAAAGTGGACCAAAGCTCCTGTGTTTTGACAGTCCTGTCATAGAATGTTAAAGATTTTACAGTGGATATATCTATTTATGTCAGCCTGCATACTTAAAAGGTGTAACTTGTTAAAACATTTACTCAGCAGCTTCAGCGAGTTTACACATACACACCCCACACACATGTGTAGCTCTTCTGTAGCTTAGTCTATTACAGCTGCTATTAAAAGAAAAAACTTAGAAAACACATGCTGTTGTATTTTAAGTATGATAGCTTATTTTATGAACAGTTGATGTAAAAGAGAATGAAAACCTGGAAAATATGTACTGATATTCTCTGCAAAAAGATTTCTGAAATATAAATAAGGCTTGTTTATAACTGTGTCCAACAAGCAATTTGGATGTCTTTCCTTCAAACATTCACTAAGATTTTCAAATGGAACTCATTTTTTTGTGGCATAAGCAGCAAATCCAAATAATGACAACATAAATTGATCTGTAATTTAAAAAGAAAAATATTGTATATTTTATTTAGAAGAAAAACCTGAAGAAGAATAACTTGAGAAACTTGGAATTTATTACAAGTGATGTTTGCCTTGCTCCTAATGTAGAGCTGGAAATGAGGTTTTAGGGCAGGTCCACTAAAAGGTGGCTGCAGTAAGAAAGATTCTTTATGGTGCTATGTGAGGAAGATGAAAATTCTTTCAACAGAGAATCTTTCTGGATATGATGTCTTGCAGAAACTTAAGTTGCATGAAAATTCTGCATTGGCTGTAGCATTATTGGTGCCTGCTATTTATGATAATGGATAAAAGCTGACATTTTAATATTAAAGTCTCAAATGGTGGTCACTATGTTGTCTGCTGTACCATAACTGTATTTTTTATTCTGAGCAGAATATTTTAAGCATATTATTTCATGCTGCAGTTGATTCTGCTCATATTGCAGTCAGATTATTTAAAAAGAATAGTTAAACCTAGCTTCTGTTTGGAGTTTGATCTGTGCAGATCATCTTAGTCTTCAGACAAATAAAGGTGGCAGTGTTCATTTAAAATGTAAAAAAAAAAGCTGCATGAAAAGTAATTTTTGAAAGCCATATTCCTTTATTTTGGAAAAAAATTATTTCTTTATCACTATTCACGGAAGAAAACTTCCTGAAGCAAGAGAGGGAATTCACGGATTTGAACAGACCATTTACTTGCTTTGAAGTTTTTTGTTCTTGGTGCAGTAACTGTTTTCACCAAGAGTTACAAGTGAACAACACAAGGGAAAACATAGAGAAAGATGTCTTGATTTCTTATCAGAGATAGAGCTGCTGTTGATAGGCATACTCCATCCTGTGGAAGATGCTTTCCACTTTAAGAAACTGGGAAGGTTGTTTTTTAATATGCATATATACATATATAAACACGTATTTATGTGTGTGCGCACATGTGTTTTTGGAGTGATTAGGAGAAGAAAAATTACATTCTTTCTTTTCAGTTGATATACATAAAATCTATGTGGATGTTTGTATATTTTCCTCTCCTGATCTAAGCCATCCTCCTTTCTTCTTCATTCAGAACCTGTCTTGGGACTGGCTGAAGAGTCAGGAGTTGGTTGGTATGCAACAGCCAGCTATGCAACTGGGTGTGGTGCTAGGAGAAGGACTTTTTTCTCTCTCTCTATGGTACATGAGTAAGAATATATATTATTCTTATCGTATTATGTATTACATGTCTTTTAATATTTCTTCTACTTCAGAATAGGCATCAGGAAGAAAACCTTTTAAACTTGCAAAGCATACTATCACATTTGTGTTATTTTTTCCACTTCA